ACCTCATGTCTGAAAAACATTAAAAAAATACAACCCTTAGTATGAAAGTAGAGGTGAGATTTTTAATCATTTCAGTTTCATTTTTTCTCAAAGCACTTACAAAGAAAATAATTTTATACTTATGAAATGTTAGTGTTGCATATACTTGTAGAGATGATCTATTTCAATTTTATATAATGGATATTTAAATTATTACTATTTTTACAAAGTAGAACAGGGCAGTCTTTTTGATCATCAACATTCCATTTGCTTCTTAAAAATTTAGACAAAGTTCCTAGTGCATTTTATTAAGCTTTACCTTTGGTGTTAAGCAGTGACTTATTAGATTTCCCTTTTAAACAATTTCTGGAGTGAAGATTCTTTGGCTTTGGGGGACTTTGCTATCTAACGACAGTCAAACTTTTTTTTTTTTTTTAAAGAAAAATAGAAGTCTACTATTAGATATCATAAGAGATACAGATTTCAGAGACAGACAGAGCAATATGCAGCTTCTGCAACGAAATCATCACCAGCTCAGTTCTCACTTACCCTGGATCCTTCCCCTCTCCATCCCTGGAGCAACACTGAGGTGCCCCATGGCAAGTGAAAACCAGGCCCTTTATTTAATGCTGATCCCAGTTCTGAGTCCAAGCCCCTTCTGGTGCTTGAACATTGTAACCATCCAAGAGACAATTGTGCCAGCAGGAACATTGCCACCATGGCTATTTTACACCACAGCGCTTTCTGTACTATTTTATATCTGGAGTCCAAATCTGTTTATGCAAAAGGGTGTTTAAATTACTCTGCTAGAGCACTGCAATTCTTGTACTTAGTAAAAAAAACTCACTAAACAAATACTGTATCTATCGACTGCTCATTTACAGCTTATTTAATTATTTACATAATTTTAGGACACATTAACCTAAACCATAAGTAGAATTAGCTTTTTGCCTTACCATAAAGTACAAATTAGAAGTTAAAAATGTTTAAGAAATCTGATAATATTTACACACGTTCAGCTTAAGTTATGGTTGCTCACAATGGATGTTCTATGTACACATAGCAAAATGTTATGATCACTACTGATATAGTATTGTACCCTGGCCATCCCACCCGAGATTATTTTCTACAAATAGTTACTATTTTTGCCTCTTTTTTTCTTGGTTCCCTAAGGAATTGGTTGCTTTTGAAAACTTACTAGTGGACAATGCTCTTATAAAAAGAGAGAAGAAATAGGCAAGCAATGTGAGGACTAGCCTAGTTGCAGATGCAGGAGGTACAGTACTGTCACCACCAACGGTGCAATGCTCCAGACAAACCTAAGCATTGAGCTGCTGATCTAGAAATGCCCAGTTACCCTGTAGAGTAAGTTGTTTGGTTTTTTGAAATACATTAATCTCTTTTTGTCAAAAATATATTCATACACTGGTCGATGGTAGAAACAAAACTAGTATTGGCTTATTCCTTGAACACACCAAGAGATGGAAGGGTGTGATATATATACTGCTGTGTGTATATATACACTCTGAAGTCCATACAGACAGCTGGGTGTCCATATGCACATACAGCTGGACAATGGTAACAGCCTTTCACTCGTGTTTACTACTGTGTTATACAGCTGCAACACAGCCTAATAGTTATAGTGAAAATTAACTGAGGTTTCATTTTAATGCATATTTTTCTGAAATAAAGAGGGTATTTTCCCCAGGTGTAAGACCACCACTCATCTTCTCTATGCATTGTGCTTTTGTACCTTACAGAGTTTATGTCCTTTCTGTTAGGATGTAAGAACTCTCTGAAGAACTCTGTGACGTGCTGTGATCTAACACTCTGTTTTCCTCCCCTGGGAATGAGAAAAGAAATGGTCACAATGTCATTGCTTGAGTCTTTCTTCCCAGTCACTGAACTGCGATAGGATAGAAACAGAACATTCCTTATGCAAACACAGAAACATGTTGCATGAATTTTCAGTTCTGAAAATGTGGATCACTTACTAGCAGTCATGTACAGTATATATTTACAGATTGATCTCAAATATTTCATTAAAACTGTGCCATGTTATAGTCATAATTCACCCATGAATTTCACAAAGATGAAAAACACCTTATTTGCTGGCTATTATGTCTAATAGGACGATAAAATGTGCAACTATAATTATATTACAAGTTTTATCTAAATTATTCACTTTGATATTTTGTTTATTGAAACTAACAACAATTAACACGATTAAAAAGATCTAGAATATTAATTTTCGGTCAATTCTAAACTAAAAACAAATTTATTCTAGTTTACCTGGAGGGGAGCACATGTAGCAAGCCCCATATCTCATTCATGTCGACAGAATTTCTGCCTTTCACTCAAGCACCTCGGGAGAGGAGTAAGGGCTCACCCTGGGCTCAAGTTCCCTTTTCCTTGGACTGTGCCTCACCAGCCTTCCTCACCCCCATCCTTTATATCACAGTGTTAAGCCTTGGTACAAAATGATAGAATCCTTCTCTTTTACTAATTTTTATACATCACATTAACAGCCAGAAGGACATAGGAAAAGCAAAAGTGCTCCTTCCCCCCAGATAATTTACCTTTCCTAGAGACACCTGAGCAGAAACCAAACATTTTCTTTCACTCTCTGAACAGAGAGTGTTATGGCTTGTTCTGGAGCTTCAGTAAGAGAATGTGCAGTTCCAGGGGTCGATCTCTGTGGGTCTGGAAACAGCTGGAGCAGGTAACCAGGGCAGAGAGTCAGCAATTCCCTGTAAGGTCTTGGATTTGCTGGTACCAACCCCAGGCAGGCTGGGAGCTCCCTGCAGTCACACTCTGCTCCTGGGCAGTAAAACAGCAGTCAGCAGCGATTTTGGAAGCAAAAGAAAAGCCTTTATGGAGGAACACTATTACACTGCTTTTATTTAGGGTTATTAGTACCATCTTTAAAGAACAGACCTTGAAGAGAAATACTGAATTTTGCTGTGGCTCCATTTCTCAGAACTGGGGAACAATTGCAGCGTGATTCCCAGCTGGCAGCTGAAATCCCAAGCGCACCTACAAAGGTTATTGCGTGGTGTGTGAAATGCAGTCAGAGATCAGCGTGAACAAAGTGTCAAACCCTGACTGGCAGAGGGAATCCCGGGGTGAGTCTGGCCCTAGTGCAGAGGCTGAACCTGGAGGCAGCACGTGAACATCCACACAACCTCCTGCCACAGAGAGGGGATGGCAAATCCCAGCTCAGGCTCGGAAACCATCCCCTCCCATCTGAAGCAGAAATAAGCACACGAGATGCTCAAAACAAAGTCAGAAATTTGGCCTATTAGTTCCCAGAACTATTCTCTTCCTATCACTGTCATTCACTGACAATCAGGGAAAAAAAAAAAACTCAGAAACTTGTAAGAAAATTATTCTTTTAAAGAACAAAAAATTAAAAGAAAATATTTTATGAAAAATATTTTCAAGATATATTTCTCTCCTGAAAAAAACCCTTTATTATCTAGTTTCTTTCAAAGATTTGTACAGATAAGAGGTAGTATGGATGCAAAAGATGTGGCTTTTGCTTCCTGAAACATCGTGTGTTGAACAATATCGGGGTATCTGATTTAGTAAAAGCCATGAAGAATTTATACTTTTTATACAGTTCTTTTGATTCGTTAAAGAAAATAGATTTTCATTAAAGTTCTTTTTTCATTAAAGAAAATGTCCCACGGTGGAATAAATGACAAAATTATTTTTGTCTAGAATTATTTTTTGTCTATTTTATTTCATCTGTAAAAGTAAGGTTCTATGGAATGAAAAAAACCCAACCTTTTATTTCAAATGGTTTCCTAAAGAAAAACTGAAATTTGCCAGTTTGTCAATGGAAATCATCCTAAACAGGAAACACTCAAAAGTGAATTAAACTCTTAAAGTCATTGCTACCAATTTCTTTCCCTTAAAAGAATGCATTAAAGAAAAGTGAAATGGTATTGCCTAACCCAGACTGAGAAAATACCCTGTCAGTAGTTCCTGTATGGAAATACATCTGCTGGGATCTTTACTTCTGGAAGAACTACAACACCTCTAACCAACAGCAGCAGGAATAATGCTGGAAAGATGCAAACTTGGAAGAAATCACACAACTCCACACGACTATTTGAGACAAAGGTGCAGCTGCCAACACTCCTTTGCACAGGGCATGTAGATGTGTGTGCACACACCCCCCTCTGTGAAATGCAGCCTTTCCTCTCCCTGCCCCTGCACTCTGGCATTGCTCCTGCCCCAGAGGAAGGCAGGGCACCCCTGCTTTCCTTCAGCCATCAACACAATTACTATTTGGGCAACCGATTTTGGCACTTTGGACAGGTGATTCCCTTTCCCAACCCAGCCCAGCAGAATATCTACCCCTTCATCACTGATGCATTTTTACCCCGTTGCTACATTCCTCTGTTGATCACAACTGTGGTCACTGTGACTGTGAGCTTATCTTCTCTCTTTAAATACAAACAAAACTAGTGCTTCTTGCTTCAGCTTCTGTGCAAACACCCAACCCTAAAATTATCAGTCAAAGGTTTAATTCTTTCAATAAATAAAAGGAAATACCTGAATGTGGTTGGGAAACCTCTGACCATCATCATCTTGGAAAGATCATAGGCACTACTTGTTTTCAAGTTTACACATTTGAAAAGTAAAGTGTGTATGTCCCATAAGCATGACAACAACTTAGTACACCCTTTGCAGTGTAGATGCATACCTCAGATATGCAGTTTCCCTGGGAATGGCATGTACTGCTGTTGAAATTCAAACTTGTTTCTCAAATGCTGCTCTATAATTTGTAACACTAAACTGAAATGACCATCAAAAAAAGGACCAAAAAATAAAAAGGGAGCGAGGGACAATGAGATAGAAATCATTTTCAAAATCCAATTTGCCTTCACATCAAAATGCACTTATATTTTGATCGGGGGATATGTCCATACCGCAACTTAACATAGACACGGTTTAGCAGAGACAACCAAAACATTGTAAAAACAGACCATAGAGTGGGCCAGCAACTAAGGTGTTTTAAAGTAACTTTTTGTCCTGAAGAGAATTTTTCTAAGTCCCACTTTTGGCTGTACAACCGATTTGAAGAGAAATCCAGTTCTTGCTTCCTGCGTGGCTTTGTTTCTTAGTTCACATAGTAAAGCCAGTAGACAATATTGAAGAAGGAAAAAACCACGGGGAAGAAGATGCGGGACCACCGATCAATGGCATTGACATCAGTCAAGTCAGGGATGGTGATTTTCAGCTGCGAGGCCCTCCTCCGTAGCCGGCTCTTCTTCTGTGCCACGTGTCTCTCCAGGGCGTTGCGGCCGAAGCTGTGCCGGGGCAGCCCGGCCTTGCGGTACTGGATGCTGGAGGTGTCGTAGGCCAGCATGGTGCTGCGGGGGTCTCCCAGCCCCATCACGGCCTCCGAGGCAGCCATCTCGTTCTTAATCTCTAGCGTGCTCAACAAAATGTTTTCATGCGGGTCCATCTGCAAAAAACGGGAGAGCGGAGTCAGCAGAGCGGCGAGGAAGCCCCCCTGGCTGCCGGCTGGAGCCGTGCTGAGAGGGGCCAGATCTGACCCTGCTGACTGTGCCTGAAGGACCTCAAGCATTTCCTGCCATTTACAGGGAACTCGAGCAGCAATAGGGCCAGCGTGGGCCAGTGCAATAAAGGGCATTTCCCCAGGCTCACATTTAGCGAGCACGAGCTGGAAATGAAGTACACACTCAGCTCCTGAAGGTGGGACTCTGGGAAGGGTATCTGGGGAAAAAATGGAACTTTCCAGGGGTTTTGAAGGGAAATCAAAGGGAAAAGGGTCTGCTTTGTTTCAGTTTTTCTTCCTTCAAATGAAAGCTTCTGCTCTGCCATAAACTTGCAGTACTCACGAGGTCTCTCTGTCTCTTTGAACAAGGCACAGAGCACTGCACAAGGGAATGCTCATTTTCTGTCCCTACACTCCAAACAGCACTGGTGTTTACCTGGGAAAAGGCACCATATCTAACTATACCTAGGTGGAAACTCTATCCCCAATGCTAATGCATTTGATAAATACAGTGCATGCTGTGGAGACCTCAGTGCTGGAGCAGCAGAGATCTCCAATTTCAAGCAAGGAAAAAGATCTGCAGAATGTAATCACATCAAATGTACACTGAACAATTGTTTCAATGGGTAGATTTAGATACCATGCATTTTTTTAAAGGCAGTTCAGCCAAAAAAAAAAAAAAATTAATGCAATATTGTAAAGAACCCCTTAGACAATCAAGAGGATTTCAAAGATAAGGAACTAAATTCTACTCTTAGGCAATCTGGAGTAGATCTGAAGTATGGCAGGAGAAATTAAAAATAATCCATTTATAGAAAACAAATATGAAATCATTTAGGAAGTTCTAATTCTCCTTAGCCTTCCCTCTAAATATGTATTTTGAATTGTTTGATTAAAGAGTATAATTAACTAAAAATACTTTAAAAGAAATAACAGCTAATGAAAAGCTAATTAATTACACTAACTTAGTGATGGTAGTGCAGATATACTCCAGGTCAAATAAGAGACAAAATTGTCCCAGAGCTCCTTTAAGAATAGCTCAGCCACATTACTCATTTCTGGGGTACAGAATATATTCCATGGGTATCGCTCAAAGGGCACAAACTGTGACTTTTGGGGACTTCTGAACAATAATATGGAATTTGTCTACTCTGTAACATTTAGAAACCAGCCATCAGCAGCAGGTACCTCCTGCACTACCCCAGTACACTGTATTTGCCATCATTAAATCCTCTATGGATACTTCCCATGGCACTGGGAGAGAAGTGGGGTGAAAGCAATTGCTTTTAGTGCTCTGAACTGGGCAGTCAGATGCTCCCAGCAGTGCTTTGGACCTACTGAAACACTGTCATTTGAGTGATTACATCTGTTCGAGTGATGCACAAAAACTGGCATTGCTGAGATGCCATATTTCCCTCTCACTTTTTTTTCCACCCAATCTGTGTGAGTTTGCACCCCTCTAGTTTCAGTATATTTGAGTTTTAAATTAGATGTAGTGACTCAATGTGAAGCAACCAAAATCTTCCATTTTTGTTTGCTTTCCATCAAAGCCAGATGAAATCTTTAAAGTTTTGGGTGTGTTAGGAAATCCATCTTTTTTTTCAAAAGCACTGAAAAAATGGGAAAGTTGAGCTGGAACTCAAGAAAAATTAATTTAAGAACCCTGTAACATGATACTGAGCGTGGTGAGGAAACACTGTGTTCCAGCCAGGAAGGCCATCAAACTGGTTCTCATCTGCATCAGATAAAACAAAGGTAAAAAGAGTATTCTGCCATTAAAACAAACAAAAGCATCCATGTGGAAAAGGTTTCAAATAGATCTAGGAAACTCTCAAAGGAGCTTTCAAACACTTTCTTATAATGAGTGCAGTTATTTAAAAATTCTTATGTGACTTTTGGGGGCAATTAATTACAGGTCCTTGGCATTCATTGACCCCAAGAACATCTAAAATCAAAAGAGGTAAGCATCTTACAAGAGGGGTGCAAAGTCATTGGCAAACGACATTTTCCAGAGTTTCATGGGATATTAAGAGAAGAAGTTTCAGTTGACATCAGGGGAAGTTTGACATAATATCCACTAAGGTGATGGTTTTACCCCTTAGCCCAGAGCCTGGTTATTTTCACCACAGTGCTTTCTAGGTGCATTCTAAAAGACTATTTTTGGAAAGATTTTAGTGCCAATAAACGTGTTCACATCTTAAATCTTCTTAGGATGAATCTACTTTAAGCATTTTATCCTTTTGATCTGAAATGATATTAGAAATTTGAGTATTGTTTACATACTTGCATACATTCTATGCAACACATGCAAGGGAAGTTAATTTAGTCTACTAGAGTTAGATACAGACAAGTTTTAGTGACATGCCATTCCTTCAGTTAACTTGTTTTCTTAATACAGCAAACTGCTGCATGTATCTGGCAATCCTGAAGCAGCTAGTAAGATTAGTGATGCTGGGCAGAAAAAAAAACATTTAGCAATACTCTAAACTATCTTCTGGGGCAAAGTGTCTTCTCCTGCAATGTATCACACTGATATCAGGACAGCATTTTTCAATATTCCAAGAATTTTTCAGGAGAAATAATGAAAAATACAGTAAATATTAGTGATGGGCGAACCTGCAAGTGTTACAATAACCAGGTAAACACCACAAAGTTCAGGTGCTTCTTGAGCATTAATTTGACCCTCCTGCACCTGAAACAGTGAACTGACCATAGGAGCAACGGCATTTTTTAATGGTATTTTGAATTCCCAATGTAAAGGAACTCCCAAAGTTCCAATCCAGAAGAAAGAAAGAAAGAAAGAAAGAAAGAACAAAAAACACAGAATAAATTAACCCAACTCTTGAACCTTTGACAAAAGGCTCCCTGTCAGCTTAGAGAAAGCTGGGAAGGAAATTTCCACCAAGTAGGTTCGCCCAACTCTAAATCAAACATGCTCTTGTGCCTGAGTGACCCCTGAGACAGAAAGCCAGTGGATTACAGTTCTTGCAAACAGCACCCCCCGTTCAAAAGGATCCCAAAGCGCTTTACGAGCATTAGAAAGAAGAACCACTTCACTTTCCAATGAAGCACAATCACCTCGGAGGTGAAATGTGGTGACTGACAGTGCAGAACAACAACTATATTTTAGTCAAGGAAATGGAGAATGTTGTAGCCAATTGAAACTATGGGTGGGTGAGTGGTGGTGGGAATGTTGGGCAAGCAGAACAGTTACAGAAATTGAGATTTGGCCACGTGCCTGGGGCGGAGATGACCACGCTATAAAAAAGTGCCATGGGATCTTTAATGACCAGAAATGGTCAAGACCTGAATTTTAAGTGTCTGAGGATAAAAACATTAGAAAACAATGAAAGATACCTTTGTTGAATACATTTCTGGACAATGATATGTGCCAATTATTCTTCTGTCCTGTAAGTTAATAAAATCAAGACCAGTTTCCTTAGAGATAAGGTAGCTATTATCTTTCATCTAAAATTAAAGCACTCTAGGGTAATAATAGGACAACTAATTAAAATATATAGGGACCTCTAAGCCAACAATTAGGTATATTCAGGTGTATTTTGGCTTCAGAGGTGCTATTACTGCCTTGCTCTGCTCCTCAAGGTAACATAACATTGTGATGTAAATGTAATTTTTCCGACTGGTCACTTGACCAAGGAAGGTATGATGATATGAAAACAATTATTAAAATTATTCTGGGGAAAAAGTAAGTGTAAAAGTGGTTTCAAAAGGAGGTGGAAGAAGGTTAAAAAGATCTCTTGGTGTTGAAGGATTGTTCAACCATAGAACACAGACTCTTTATGGTGAACAGGAGGGTTCAAACTGAATGGAGAAATTCCCAGGGACGAGAAAGGAAGGGAGGATGAAGATGAAAAAGCAGCAGCAAGTACTATGGAAATAAAAGGTGAAAGCAGAAGTGGAGAAGAAATGACCAGAGTTCAGCAACTATATGAGAGGGTGAGGTTTGGATAAATCAATCTTAAAACTGGATGACAAAGTATATGGTGCAAATGATATTCATTTATAGGTCCAGGTCAAGTGGAAGAAAAGCTGACTCTGGAGCCTTGAAAGAGGCCATGACCTTTATGATGGTCTCAAACAAAGGGAATACAGAGAAAAGTGCAGAAATGTTACCATCATATATTCTTCCTGATACCTAGAAACTCCAAAATGATGGCTTTCTCGAGGAATTCCTCTCACATTTATACATTAGCAAATGCAAAATACAACAAAATTACAACTCCCACACACATACATCAGGAATCCTCCTAGGATGACCAGATCTCTCAAACAACTAACTCTCAGTAAACCAGCACACTGGTGATTATGCTCTACTGTTCTACCAAACACAACGTGATAACACTGATGAACTGAAAGGATATAACACTGCCATTCTTGCTTTCTCATGTACTATTCATTTTCACCTACAACCCTCAGTTACAGACAGGGTACTGATGGCTCCTTTCATGGTAGAATGGCTCAGAAGCTGTGGACACAACAGGCAGCAGGGATGAAACTTCCCATGGAAAAACCTTGGGAAACAAAACAGCTGTAAAGTTGTCATGGGATGTTCCACCTCACCAGCAAGGTCTGAGTTACTGCCTGGGAACCACTGACCCCTGGGGCCACCCTGACCACACGAGGTGACGTGGGGGAGGAACATCAGTTCTGTATAAGCTGCTCTCAGGTTCACTCTGGGAGAAAAAAGAATTCATTATTTCCAAATGGCACCTGCCTAAAGCTACAAAGACATTTCTGACAAGATAAGCCAGTCTGCTGAGATAAAGCTACAGAAATTTATAACACACAAATGCCTAATATTTAAAAATATCAAAACTGAATTTCCTGCCAGCATTTGAGTTACTGTTTATGAAACCAGGCTAGAATGCACTGGCTCAGATCGTGTTATACCCCTGATATTTGGGTCAGGCTGAACAGCATGAGGT